CCTTATTAGCACAGCCCAACACATTTTCCAATAGTAACCTTTGATATGCAAAACCGGAGGATTGCGTCACTTCGTCAGCCAAAAAATTAAGCGAACCTCCCAGCAGTAACCTCAGCATCAATTTCCAAGCAATAACTGTTTCAGCATTTACAGCTGCAATAAATGGCTCTGATAATCACCTATAAAAACTGCAAACTGATGACCTAATGGTACGTTAGAACGAAAAGATAGCCGATCAAACTATCAAGTCATCCCGGGGCGCCCATCACGCATCACTTCCAACCACTGTCACCGCTTATCGTTCAGAATTCTTGATCAGCATCTTCGTCCTCCTCCACTATCCTGGCCCTCTGACCTGTATCCGAGCACCTACCAACCAATATCAGCTCTTAGGAAGGGACAGGGAAGCGGGAAAAGGGAGAAAGAGATGTTAAGAGAGCAGCGATTACTAGACCGCGCTGGCAAAAATAAGGAAAAAATAATTGGCCAACGCACGGGCTGCCCGTGCAAAGATGCGTTTTTTGCACAGCTCCCCGCAGATTTTTGTCGCTAACGGTACTGGTTTTTCCGCAGATGATTCTAGCTAAAAGAATTTCAGATTGACCGCCAGGACTGTCAGGAAACATCCCTTCAAAATCCCAGTCTTCTAGTTTCTCACTTTCCTGAGTTAGCAACTTACCCGGAAGAAACTTTCAAGGGCCGTACGTAGGCACCAAGCTTGCCCGCGGGTAGGGTTTGAACTCGTTAATACCTACTTGGACGGGGAACATTGCCGTAAGATTTCAGCGCTCTACCTTCTCAGATCCTCGAGTTATGAACTTACCCGAAAAAAGTTTTGGCAGGCCCGTACGCGGGTACCGCACTTACCCTGGGGATGGGTTTGAGTGCATTAATACCCAGTTGGACGGGGAACATCCCTCTAAGGTTTCAGCGTTCTAGCTTCTCAGATCCCCGAGTTATGAACTTACCCCAAAAAAACTTTGGCAGGCCCGTACGCGGGTACCACGCGGGTTTTGGCGCCCATTTTGAGGATTGGGGCCGGCACGTGCATGTAGATTAAGTTCCCAAAATTTCAGCCCCGCAGTTTTTATAGGTCTTGAAACGAAAGTGCGTGACAGACGCACACACAGACACACAGACGCACAGGCATACAGACACACGGACACACAGACAACCCCTCGTCAATATGCGTTTTCTGCATTGCATAGCTGCAAAAAAAACGCATAAAAAACGCAATAAACACTGACCTGCAAAACTGCTGCTCAAAAGATGTTTCAAAACATCCCCATAGACGGCACCACTGTCGGCTAGTCGTGAAAACACCGATAACGCAAGCGCAAATAGTTCCAGTTCGCAAAATTCATCCGCTGGCACAGTGCCAAAGAGCTTATTGTACAGTATTTTCAACGATGAATATTTAATTGTAGATTTGTTGTTCGCTTCTGCAAATGAATTTGCCAATTTTGCAATGCACCACAGCCAAAGAACAACATTACTTACGCATCTTCAGAGTCAGAAAGTTACAGTTTTGAAATTTTCTAAGTGGTAAAAGGTGGCTTACTAAAAAAAGTGGCTTACTATGAGTGGGTTGTTGATCTCTGACAATAATTTGCTATTTTTTTTGAGGTTATATCGAAAAAAAAATGCTAAATATAACATATTCTTAGCTTATTTGTTCTGAACAACTCAAAAGCAACATATTCAGGGACTTTGCCAGAAGATGATGAGGTAGAAGTTCCCAGGAAGAACAGGAATTATGGCCCCTAAGGTGCCAAAAACCAAATCAGAAAATGACCCGTAATTTCATAATACTACGGCCAAAAAACCCCAGTTAATAATATGTCAAACTAATTTTCCAGTTGATCTGACAGTTCGAATAACAGTCAAACAAAATACCTCCACAATCTGTTGCTGAATCTTCCTCCTCATCATTTTCGAAATCTTTCGATTCAGCGCGCTGAAGATGATACCAAATGGTTGCCTGCAAATTCGACAAGATGATTTTTCAACGTGATTTTATGTCTCATCGCAGTAAGCCCGATCTATGATGACGGGGTATTCTTTTGCACGGGACAATCTGGAACTCTTGATATGCATCTACAACTGCATGTCACAGTCGAGGATAAATTCAGGGCTATTTCCTTCATGAAACTGATAGTTATGGGACGCACTTGACGTCCGTGAATAGCGGGGAATGACTGAACAAATTTAAACCTGAAAGAACGGTAAAAGTGCACTAATATCCACTTGGACGGGGAACATCCCCTCAAGATTTCAGCATTCTAGCTTTTCAGATCCCCGAGTTATGAATTTACACGAAAAAAATTTTGACGGGCTCGCACGCGGGTACCACGCTTATCTGGAGGGTGGATTCTGCTCTGCTTGGCGGGGAAGGCGGGGGGGGGGGGAAAATTCATTGAACCAAAAGAAACACACAGATCAATTTACCATCGAGACGAATCAACAAATATAACAGTGGGAAGGTTTTTTTTTTTTAAATTTTGCCTAGAATCATCGAAGTGACCATCTGCCGGAACGGATCTCACAGATTCAATTCAAAAAGGCAAAAATTATTTGAACAGCTCACAAACTCGTTATTTCTAGTAGCCCCGCCGTCCTCGTCGACCAACTCACTGCTGCTGGTGGTGCATCGTCGCCATTCCAGCTTCTGCAACAGCTCAACAGCTGTTCCAGGCACATCAACACAGATTTCCGGGAACGATACGCTTTTCAGGTAACCACACAGCTCCTCAACGATTTTTCTGCACTGTGCTGCGGGTCCTGCAACAAACAAAAAGCACAGGATGAAAACTAATAACCTGATCATTGGCGTATCCAGGGGAGCGGTGAGGCAAAGAGGCCTTTCGCTTTTCCCCCACCCCTCCCCCCGGGGAGGCTCAGGTAGCAGTTGTTTACTGCACAAAAGTCTGTTCGAACCCCCCC